GAACAGAAAACAGACATCATTAAAATTTAGCTTTTTTATTCATTGACATCACATAAATACTGTATTTAAACTGGTGTAGTTTCCAAAGAAAAGTAGGCGATAAGTTCATGTGAAATAGCAGGCAAATTTCGCAGGCCGCAGGCTCTTATTGAAATCCCTGATATATTGACTGTTAACTAAGCATTAGTTTACATTAATTTTGACCTGGTCATTGTCACTTTTCACAGGGTCACAGGGAACCTATTATGTTTCTGGACTGGTCTCTTGATGGCTGCTTTCTACAGAGTTTGTCCACTGATTATGAGCACATTGTTTGTAAGTAGACAGCAATTTGTTGTTGCTTTTTTATAGTGGATAAAAGTAATGATGATAGCAATCCATCCTTAATGATCATTTGAATGCCAAAAGTATCATTTTTACTAGTATATTGCAAAGTTACTTTTAAGCAGGTTTATTAAACATGCTTTTTTTGGTATCTTTTTACTATCTTGTATCTGTCTTGTTTCATAGTTTGTGTTTGCATCTGTAATAACGAAAAAATATGTTGTTTGCACATTGCTTTGGTCAAGATGTAATTTTATTTTCTCTTCATTTTTCACTTCCAAACATCAGACTCAATAATGGGTTCTTCTCTTGTCATTTCAGGGGAAATAGGTGGATTTCAACGAGAAGAGTCCCAGGATGTTATTCGTGATATTGACTGGTCCACACGCAATGTCATGCTTGGTTACGACGTTGCAGGTATCTCTCCCATTCTTTTGTTAACCTAGTCTCCTGATATCATAGCCTTTGTTTTCAACCTATCAGTCCAAAGAAAGTCCCAAATTATTTTTATTTTTTAAATTAGTTTTCAAAAATAATATAAAAGAAGACAAGTAGAAACAAAAGAGGCATACAGGAGATGTAAAATTAGGGTGGTGGTGGTGGTGTTTATTGGTAATTTTGTTCCAATCTTTAGTGTTTAATTAAGGGCGCTGTTTATTCTAGGGTAGCGTTTAATCGAGTGACATGTGGGAATTGAGTGTAAAATCTTTGTATTTCTTTCAAAGACTCAAAAGTTAGAAAAACTAGTACATTGATTTTTTTTTTTCACTTGTGTTTGTAGGTGCCTGGCCTTCTCAGCCTGATGATGGTAACCTCATTAACAGTTCAGATCTTTCTTGGTCACGTGATGTGTTTGCCATTGGAGATGAGCTGGGTTACATTCGCTTATTTAGATTTCCATGCAGTCAACCTGGAGTAAGTAAACCAACAGAAGGGTTCATACAGTCTTGAATTCTTGAAAAAATCTGGAAATTTGCAAAGTAATTTTCGTAAATAAAGAATTATTCAATGAAGTTTTTGAGATATCCAGGATAATCAAGTTTGAGGTAAGTGTTATCAGCCGAGCTCAATGCTGAGGCTGATAGCAGCTACTGAGATCTTGATTATTCCTAATATCACTAATACCGTATGTAATAGAATTATTGTTTTATTATACATTGTTTTGAAGAAGGTAATAACAAACACACTGTCCCACAGAATCAAGTTGACATTTCTCTTGGAAATCAAGCATTGCAGGCACAACCTACAGATTTGTCTGACAGTAATCTGGTGCAGATAACTAACTAATCCGTAGGTTGCACTGATTTCCAGAATTAAATGTAGGTCCTCAACAAATGAGAAGACAGATAATTAGTACATTGTATAATAAAAGAAATTATTACATTACAACCTGTAGGCCCACTATCATCAGTGGCGTGGACACAGCTGTCCCATCACAAGGATGCTATTCTTAGCATCAGACACCCACCTTATTACAACTGGTAGTCGTGACTTCTGCATTCTTCAGTGGTCAGTGGAAGGACACCTCCCAGCACTGAATGAAGAAGAGGAATCTGAGATAGAAACTGAGATGCCTCGGGTGGCCAGGCAACAAAAGAGAAGCCGCCAAAAGTTTTCAGATAATAAGAGCAATCACTCTGGTTACAGTTCTGATGGACATAATGAGTATGATGATTTTTCTGAAAATACTGCAAGACAAAAAGGACCAAGAGGCCAACGGCACCTGCGTGAAAACAGGCGATATTCTGATGAAGCGTCTGGCTTTCTTGAAGTACCTCCAGGCCATGATAGACCATCCAGGAAATCACAACAATATAATGGCGATAATAACAGAGTTTCTGGAAGGAGTCCACAGCGTAACATCCCCACTCAGAATTCCACCAGGTCACAGCAAGGCTCTTATGCAGATAGATTTCATAAACAAAAAGCTGCTAGGCCATCCAATCAACTCCCACCTGATGACATGGATTACTATTCAGATGAGGAAAGCCCAAGGATGGATCCGGGTGCAAGAGATAGGGGGAGGGGTGGGGAGAGAAATGATTATCCCACCAGGGGACATGGTAGAAAGTTGAATAGAAGACCAATGAGATAGCAAATGTTGAAGAGGATAAAATGGAAGAATTACCTGGTGGAAATATGTTGCAAATTTATGTTTTTGGAGTTTATCTCTTTTAATTTATTTGCAACTAAACACCTTTTGAGGAAGAAATGAACTAATAATATTATTAGTTAATTATAAAGTTCCATTGAATACATGAACACAAGCATGCTTTTGTGTTAAAACTTGCAATTTTGACCAATTTCATTTTTTTGCTGAAATTGTGAACAACACCAGTCCTTCTTCCTCCAAGGGGTTTGACCAACGGCAAACCACCCCACAAGATTCATTTAAAGTAGACGAGAATTTCACTTAGAAGATAACCTATAGGAACTGAAAGAATGTATAACATTTATTTGTTTAAAGTATTTATGGAGACAGTGCTCAAATTATGTCGTGTAGTATTTAGTTATTAATGGCAAAAGGTTTGCTAAGGATTTTATCTAGGACAAAAACATTCTTCCAGCAGCATAAGGCTTGTTATTTAAATGGCATCTAACTTAGACAGCAATTTAAAAAATTCAGTGAGCCTCCAAATCTGTTTGTAAGGTGTTTGTTTTAAATAAACGGATAATGTGCGGGTTTCTGATGTCCTGGCTGTAGGACTTTTTGTCAATGATTTTATGAACAGTTACTAAAAAATGTTTAGATGGGAGGGAAACATCAAAGCATTTAAGAGCTGGAACTCTTCAATTTAATGAAAATTTGAAAATGTATGGCAGGTGATGATATTTGAAAATTATTTGAAGAAAGATTGATTTTAAAAAAGTTTTATAGTACTTAATTTTTTTACAAAAAAGTTAGCTCATGAGCTAAATTACTTGGAAGCACATTTTGTGGTGCTTTCATTTTTGTTTTTGTTTTGTTTTTTGTTTTTTTAACAAACATAAGGAAGCTGCTGGCAGCTTGTAAATGTGACAGTAAATTTAAGAATTATTATTAATATTTATTTAAAAGAGATAGCATTGTACACCAACACATTGTTAAAATTTAAAACTCTTTAGGTGTCACATATTATATTCAGCACTTTGTCAGATGAAGAGACACAAGGAAATTATTTTGCTAGCATAGCCAGTTTCAGAAGAGCACTGATGGTCTTAATCGTCCATAGAAGAGATATTGCAGCATCTTTGAAAAAAGGGGCAATTTTTAAAAATGGTAATTGGATGATGGTGATCAAAATCTCATGATGTAAAAAAACTTAATGACAAGTTTAATTTTTAATCTGATATCACATTACATGTAATGTACAGATAACAGTTATTGTCATAGCTGATAAAGTTAAGATCAGAATCATTAACACTACTGTCTTTGTAATTATTTATCTTGCCATCTCCATTCTGGAAATCACATTCCCATCACCTAATAAAAATTTTTTTTATGCAATTAAAGTATTTTCCTGCAGTGATCATTTTCCCAAAAGCTATCGATAAGTCAATTTCAAATGTGGGCTTACAGAGTTGCATTTTTAAAAAGCCTTTTCTTGATGAGAAAGTTGCTTTACAGACTAGTAGTTGGACCAAACAGGAAAATGTTTGCCACCGTTACTACAAACCGCCACAGCTATCGTCATCATCATCATCACCAAAATTTTGTCTTCACACGATTTACTGTTTTCGTTATAAATGTGCCAAATTTGGCACACCCAATGCAATTAGAAAATATACAACTACAGCTATCTAATGTTAGGAAAAAACGTTACAGGATGTTACTCCTTTGTATGACACAATGAAAATCTGTAATATAAGAATCTTGTCAACCTAAGATGTTTAAGAGGCTGTGCCATGGTTGTCTGGTTCATTTTGTTTATAACATCAGTTAGGCATCCTTAATCGCTTTGAAACTTGAGAAATTACCAGTGAACAGCAAAATCACAGCCTTGTGTCAAGTCAAATATGTCTCTCAAGCATTATACCCATCATCATAAACAACGAAAATGAACTTTGAAAAACTGTTAGGCCAACAAGTTTTCAAAAACCACGACTGCGATCCCCTTAAATCTTCTTCAAGTTTGTCCACCTTCAAACCCCGACCCTTATTATACCACCCTGTTTAAGCCAAGACAATATTTTTTGCACCTGATTTGTTTACATCGTCAAATGAGATATTTTGTAAAAACAATAATTATCGTTTGTACCACAAATGTAGATCGCTCAAATTGATATACAGTCAACTCTCTCAACCCTTTAAATCTCAAGAGTGATCAAAATCAATTTTCTCGTCACATTTTCAATATATAATTAAGTAGAAAGGTTACAAGAATTAACAGATTGATCACTGAAAAAATGCTTTGATCTTTAAACAAATTCTCTCAACCAATTTTTCAAGGAAATGTACGGAGGCCAGTCAGGAGAATTTGTATGTTGATGTTGAGGCTGAAAGGGTTAAGACGGACGAACACTTTAGGGTCCGGCACTAAAAGTCCATCTAAGAGTAATGTCCATCTTAGGAAACAAAGAAAGCTAGGCAGGGACCAGCTATAAGTGTCTGTTTTACCCAGATGTCCATCTTACAGAGGTGTCCATTAAGAGTGTAGACTAGTCAGACAGAAGTGTTTATTTTGGTTTTCCAGTGTTCAATCCCGGAGATACCTTACTTTTCCTAGACAGTAGTTGATAATAGTCCATCGTTTTCCAGACATGAATGCTCTGCACAACATAACAGGTATCTGGTAGTTATTTAGCATGAAGAAAGGCCATGGATCACTTGCATCAAATACTGCATCTTCGCCATTTATCAAGGTGTGAATGAATTCTCCTATTCCCTGCTGAAAAAGACCAAGTTTGGCAATTTCATTGTACAACCAATAGACGTGTTTTGACGAAGCTGATGGCTCTGATGGCGTTGGTAACTGGAATTGATCTTCCATGGCTCCACGTATGGCTGCTTCTAGATTTGGCTTCATCTGGTAAGAAACCACACATGAGTGAAGACGTGGATTACACTCTATGCAATAAATTTCGCCAGAGTCATCTTCTTCAAGGAAGTCGAAGCAAATACAACCAGTGATTTTCTTGGTTTTACAAAACTCTTCCACCCATTTCTTTATCTCAGGGTGTTTGGTAACATCATAGTCAATTTGAACTGGTGAACAAGGACAGACTTGAAAAGCTTGAAGACTTCCTTTGGAAACAATGGCATTGGCAGCAAATTCTTTTCCTTTTATAAACTGGTTAACGAGATGTGGATTGTCACAATTAAGCTTAGATTCATAGTGAGCTAAGAACTTCTCAAATTCAGTAGAGTCGCTCGGTATAGGAGTGAAGTTCAATCTGTCTTCAGAGTATGGCATCAGAGGTTTCAAGAAGTAATGTGATTTAGAGTTCAAGAGCAGCTCTTTCTTTGCCACTTCACGGACCTCTGCCAAGCTATGTACTTTTTTAAAATAAGGTACCTTCAGGTTTAGCTTGTTGCATTCTTCTAGAAAAAGAGGTTTATCATTAAGAATGGCTGTCAATTGCGGATCGTCGAGAGTCAGACATGTGATTTGCGGATTCACCTCAGCAAGACGCTGTTTGATTATTGAGTCAGGCAAAGCTGCTTTTGTATGGCTCACTGGGATGTACCAATCAATCTTCTCTGTCTTTGCAACATTAATCACTCCTTTGATGTAAGCGTCACTGTCATCTAGGGAATTAAAATCTGGGACCGTGTAGAACTTTGAAATGAAGCAAGACCATTGTGCAGCAGAACAACCAAATTCTTCTAAGTCAGCCAAAATGACGCGATGACCAGCCTTTCCCAGTGTTTTGGAAATATGTAAACCCTTTGTGTGGGCTAATCCTGACACTAAGACAGTTCGTCTAAGAGATGCTTCAAGATGATCATGCTTTTCAGACTTTCTACCAAGCAACCAGACACAAGTGGTGAAGATGAAACAGAGTGGCATTGCTGCCATTATCAACATAATACACAGTGCAGCCTTGACTCTGTACCATTGCTTTCCCAGTAGATTGGACAGTGATTGTAGCGGATTCAAGTTGGTTACTCCAGACATCTTATATTTTACTTTCCTTGAGAGGGTAGAACTTGTTGGAAGACAAAAACAATTTCTATGAAAACAAAACATACTTGTGTAACTACGCATTTACATTTCCTGGCTCCCTGTGGATAAAGGTGTTAATAATAGTACTTGCTTTAAGACTAGCTGTTTTTGTCTCGTCATACAATGCTCCTTAGGGAGGAACGTTGGGTGACAAGACAAAACCGCAAGAGAGAGACTAATATTTGGTGGGTGTCTCAGCTACAAACCATCATCAACACTCTCCACCCAAACACAGATAGCTCAAGTAACCCCAGTAGCCCCTACCCCTCCATAATTCAGTTCTGGCGCTCTCGTTGTCAGGCAAAGCTCGTTTTTCCAGGAGGGTTTGGAGTTGCTTTAGGGTATAACGAAACTGAGTTAATCAAGTTCCTTTTCAGTTTGCCCAGTTTCGTGACCCTAATAAATGGAACTATATGCTACTGGTTCACACAGACAGGAGTCAGTTTACTCAAGAGATTATTTCACTCAAGAGATATTAACTTACACCCGATTACTTATTAGTCTCCTTCGCAGCCGTTATTAGGGTCCACGTTGCGTGACGACCCTAATAACGGCTGCAAAGGAGACTAATGAGTAATCGGATGCAAGTTAATATCTCTTGAATTTTAAAGCCTCTCTGCGTACGTCGTTTTCGTCGCGATCTTCCCATCAAATCGTCTTCACTTTTTATATCGACCTATCAAACTAATCAGTCGCATATTTGCGAGTAAGCATTTCCCCGGTAGATCTGAGAAAGGTGAGGCATATAGATCAAGTACGATCGTAGAGAGCAAGTCAGAGTTTCATGTCAGCCTTAAAAAACCGCCAGCAAATTTACTTTTGGTGGAAGAAAAAAAAATATTGCTCGGAAAGCTTTGCTAGTGAACTGAATGGTGAACCCTACTTTGAGCAACATTTCGCCTTCGCGGTGCAATTATGTAATAGCAGGTTATGGGTATGAATGTCTGGTAACTTCTTCTCACCTAACCCGCCAAAAATCGCCAAAATACAAAACACTCGAAGACTTACCCAAGTAAGGAGTTTTTTCGTATCACCAGCACTACTTTCACGATGAACGCTGCACGATGTACTTGCAAAGATCTCGAACACACCTAACTCCTAGAAAACAATGGTCTGCAGTCTTCATTTTGTACTAGCTGTCCAATTAAAATTCACCGCGTTTGCCTCCCAAAATTTTACATTAGCATACCCCCTTTTTTTTTTCTTTTAGCGTCGAATGCGTTTCCTGATATTGGGTCGGTCGGTCGGATTGAAAAAAAAAGAAAAACGTAAAAAAAAATCACAAGAAGTCTCGGAACACTGGAGGCCCTGGTTCCCCATGACGACGTTAAAAGTTAACATTCACATATTTGGATTAACAAAATGTACAATATACTGTAAAAAATGTTCATGCTTTTGTTCCTGTTTTTCTCTACGCTGTTACTATGCTCATTTTGCAGATTTAAAGAGTTATTTCAAGTGAGAATGCCAAAAATTTGGGTGGGTCGGACGACGCTAAACTGAGAAAAAAAAGAGGATGGCCTAAAAAACCGAATAGGCGGACGCAAATAGAGCTGGGAAAATGGAGTGGAAACCATCTTTGATACCAGATTCAGGCTTTCGCGGCCGTTTTTCGTTAAATAGCACTGATTTGTGCTAATGGAATGACATTTACCAGTCCTGAATTTTGCTTACCATTTGTCCAAACCGAGAACCGGCCGGTTTGCCCATAGTTATGCAAATTTTTTTGGGTAAACTAAAGTGCGAAAGTGTTGAAAAGGTTTTCCTTTATATTTATGTTAATTATTTTTTTGGCCGTGTACTTTATTGCGTAACTTTTATTGTTGTAGATAGTACTTTATTGTTCGTTATAAAACTAATTAGGTAAAATATTCATTGTAAGCCGTTCTATTGGTTATAAGCCGTTAATTACTAGACCGTTAATTACAATAGTTCCTTTTTGCCACATCTTGCATTTGCATGGGATTTGGAAATTTTAGATATTATTAAGAAGGAGCCCCGTCGCTAAAAAGTCAGTGCGGAGGGCGCGTTCAGAGAGACTGTAACAGAAGGACCTTGAACCACAAGCCGTTCTACTTAAATCCCTTCAGCAGAGGTGTCCCTTTTAATTTCACCGCTAAAGAAGTCATTTTGTCGGGTGGAAAGTAGTTTGATGTGCTGTAAACGTTAGTATCGTGGAGACCTTAACATCTCTCCAAGAAGTCAGTGCGTTACATAACATTTCTCCAAGAACGGTTGCGGAAAACCAAACTGAACTAGAGAGCAGCGGCAGACCGGGAGACCGAAGCCGGAGCAAGTCTGTGAAAGATATAAGAGAAAGGCGGCTACTGGAGTTTGGAGGTTTTGGGATCGAGTAAAAGTGGTGGTGTGTTCGGAAGGATTCGCGGCGGGCTGGACTAAAGGAAAGACGAGGAACTCTGTTTTATACGTAAGTTGAATTAAAAAGGGAACTATTACTGCGTGTTCGAAGAAGATAATTTGTAAATATGTTGTAGACTAAGTAGTTCAAAAATCGCTGTGTAGTTTGTGTAAAAAAAGTAATATCGCATTAGACTTTAGAAATTAGAATAATTATCCCGTTTTAATTGTTTAGTGAAACGAGTATAATTATGGAAACGCCTAGTTAATCTTAAAACCGTGGAGTTTTGGGAGTATTGTTTTAATAAACGTTTAGAGCATTACTTTTTTTATATATACGTGTTTTCTTGAGTTTGTATCGTTGGAGAGGACTCGCTTTTGTGGCGGGTTTCGTTACAGATTTTTGCATTGGTTATAGGTCTTTCTGCTACCCATATGACCTGATAAGGGAATTGGTATAGCCTTGTTTAATAAGAAGACAACATAAACAGACTGTACAAAGACGAATTCTAGACTTTTAATTTATATAGATAAACAGGGATTCAGTCCAGTGTTCTTATGAAGTGTTCTGTCATGTCAAAGAGGCCGTTTGGGTTTTTTTCTTTGCGATTTTTCGTTCAGTTTCAAATTTATTGTTCATGTTGTGTCCACATACACTTATTATCCTTCTCTAAATAGAAAACGTTAAAAAAAGTTATGAAAATGTCTCGTTTTGCTATTGTACGGAAATCAATATTGATCTCAAAAAGATTTACCCAAAAAATATGCATATGAGGTCGATCAGGAGAGCAGGGGTGGGGTGTTGTCTCTTTCTGAGTGCCCGGAGATGGGGGAAAGAAAAAAATTGCAAATCCCCCGGGGTATGCCCTAGGGAGAGGATGGTAAGAGGTCAAATTGAATCATGCATAAACATCTCTCTTTCGTGCTTTTCTCCCTCCCCTCTCCCCCTCCCCTTTTTGCGCCTGCCAAGCAGGCTAGTCGCCTACTTTCTCTTTTCCTCCGTCTTTCTCTTTTTCTATGTTCCAAATTTGTGGACATGACAATTAATCTAAGCTTAATAGTTTAGGCAACACGAATACGGAAATAATTTCCACTTTCCGTTTTCGTTTTGATTGACTCTTTAGTTGTCTCTGCTTCGCAAGACGCTGGTGGCTATGCCATTTCCCGCCAAAATAGCCTCGAGTTGTAATGTGTAGTCCCAGAAAATATCCTTCCCCCCTCCCATTGAGGGCAACAGAAATTCCTAGAGGAGGGGGGGAGTCAAAAAGGAGGCAAATGGTTACATTCCCTCATAAATATACAAGTGCATTTTTTACATCTTATTGCAATAACATCGTTTTAATAAAATCACTAGAAAAAAAGTGAGAAAAAAATGAGAAAATTCAAACAGGAAACTAATAAATTTTGTTATTTACAGCATAAAAGGCGTCTTTCAGGGAAAAAAGCAACTAGAAGTAGGTTTAAATCAATTTTCACACTATTTGTTCTTGTTCACAGATTTGCACCTTAAATCTGTTCACATTACTTCCCCGTAAGACTTCGTCAAATCCAAAACATCTGTATGTAAATTTCCATTTTGATAAAGTTTTAAGTGTCCATTGGAGATCGAAAGGACCAACATCTTGGTTTTGTGATTGGTGAAACTGGAAATATGAATG